CTATCTATCTATCTATCTATCTATCTATCTATCTATCTATCTATCTAATCCGGATTGTTAAATAAAAGTCATTCGGTATTTTACAAGCAGTTGAAGTTAAATTAAATCAGGAACGTACGTTGTCATTAAAAAAAGACTATTCTGCATTTTAAGAAAATGGATAGTAAGAATTTATCATATCAAAATAAACTTACTGTACAATGCAATCTTTGTTGCCTTGCGGGATTGCGTTACTTGGCTGCTTTCGACAATATGCAGGCTAACACAAATAGGTACACCAAAGTTGTCAGCACTGACATAACATTCAGAAATATCTCCAACAAATCTTAAACTACCATTAATATGCACACATTTTTGTAACTTCGATCAACAGCTGACAATAAGAACTCTTCGCCGCAGAGCAACAATCTTTGGTTACATGGCACACTAAAATCTACTTCCGCTGTCTCATCACTTTGTAAAAGAAGGCGTTCGTTTTACAAACACCGAAGAGCAGGAAGATTTCGGTGAGCGGGAACAAATAAGACATAATAATTTCCTCTAAAGAGGTAGTATCTACAATTATAAGCCCCACTGATATAGGCTACGTCAAATAAACCACGCGACCCAAACCGCATGAATTGTTACAGTATGTCCGAGCAAACAATGATCGTGAAAAGTAGGTGAAGATTTGAGCGCCTCGCCTCCCTCTTTATGAAAATGCTTCAGAAATTATAAGGTATTTATAAAAGGTAATAACTTTATGCCGGGTTCTGTGAAACATACCTGAGATATCTTATAATTCTTCTTCTTCTTCTCTTTTTTTATGGCGGTTGGCAAACAACTTTTTTGGTGCATTACCGCCACCTTCCAGATTGGAGTATGGATTCAACAATCTATTAAATTCTTCCTAACACACCCGTTTTTCTTAAAAAACTGAAAACACTTCCAAAAACCACATCCCCAGACGACCTTTGAAACAAATCCCCAATATCCAATTTTATTTTATTCCTACCTAACTCCCTACATAACCTCTCTCTTTCTTGATTATATTTATTACATTCCAAAAAAACATGTTGGACTGTTTCCAGCTTCCCACAACCACAACACCCCGTGCTATGTTTATTGATTATTTTAAGATTACTATTTAACCCTTATTCTAGATATAATATCTTTTTCTTTTTTAATTCTACTACATTTTCTTACTTCTCCAACCTTTTTCTGAATACTATAATCAAATCTAGCATTCTTTCCTTTAGCCCAATGTTCCTGCCATTTCTTCTTGAAATACAATTTAATAATATTCTTTACCTCATTTTTACTTATTTTAATATTTAAATCAACAAGATCTTTTTTTACTGCACTCTTCGCAAAACCATCAGCCAACTAATTTCCAATAATGCCAATGTGAGCAGGAATCCAAACTAATTAAACATTAAAACCCCCATTTCTAATCTTAAAAATTGAGTGCAAAACATCCACTACTATATCATGTCTTGATTCTGACTTAAATTCTAGAATACTTATTAATGCACTACTGGAATATGAACAAATTAAAACCTCCATCTCTCTTGTTTCCTCAATCCACTCTAAAGCCATTAAGATTGCCATTAATTCTCCTGTATACACTGCCACTTTATCTGTTATTCTTTTATTCCTCATAATATTTAACTCTGGAATTACAAATGCTATACCTACTTTATCATTTTATGTTTTAGAAGCATCTGTATAAATTTGTATATATTCTGAATATTCTTTTTTTATATAACTTTCCACCTCTTTTTTTTTCTGTCTCCCTTTCTTTAATAAGTTTAAATCAACTTCAGCCTGTCCAAAGATCCATGATGGAATAGCCGAAATAACAATCACAGGACTGATTATAAAGTTATCTATTCCTACATCTTTTACTTTATTTATAATTGTCCATCCAAAACTATTAATATTTTTTCTTGACAAGGTTGCAGTGTAGTATATGGTGGATGAATTTCAGTATGTCCTCTAATATTTACCCAGTAATTTATAGCTAGTTGTTCTCTCCTGAGCTCCAGTGGCATTTCACCAATCTCCACTTGTAGAGCTGAAACTGGGGTAGTTTTTAAAAAAAAATTTTTTTAGATTTAGTGGCCTTTAATGACAGTAGCTTGACAGGAAAGGGGGCAGAGATAGAGAGGGGGAGACCTGTGGGAAAGGGCCATGGGCTGGAATTGAACCCAGGCCACCCGCGAGCGGAGGCTCCGCATATGGGCCGCTCGCTCTAGCCATTAGGCTACGCTGCGGCCCAAACTGGGGTAGTTTACATCGCTCCACAACAAAGTCTTAGTGCCTGATATTGTATTCTATCTATTTTCTTTAATAAAATACTTGAAGCTGAACTGTATACTATACAACCATAATCAAAAATTGATCTCATTAGTCCAATATATACTGTCTTTAATGCTTTCCTATCTGCTCCCCAATCTTTTCCTCTCAAACATCTCATTATATTCTAAATTCTTTTACTTTTTTCAACTAATTTATCTATATGTATCTTCCATGTAAGTTTTTTATCAAACCAGATACCCAAATATTTAATTTGTTCTATCCTTTCTACATCATCCCGATATAATTTGAGATTAACATTGATATTTAATTTCCTATTTGTATAAAACACAAATTTAGACTTAGATGTTGAGAATCTAAAACCCCATTCTAAAGCCCAAGCTTCTACCTTCTGTAATGCTTCTTGTAGTTTCTTATTTACAAACTCTCTATTTTTCCCCCTCTTCCAAAAAATACCATCATCTGCAAACAATGAGATTCCAAAAGATGTATCTATACTACTAAAAATATCATTAATAATTATACTAAATAGAATAGGACTTATTAAACTACCTTGGGGGGTTCCATTTTCAACTTGATATTTTGAACTTATTTCCCCACCTATTTTTACTCGAATACTCCTTTCAGTTAAAAAACTTTTTATCCATCTATACATTTGATCTCTTACACCTATTTGTTTAATTTTAATCAACAATCCTTCTTTCCATAACATATCATAGGCCTTTTCCACATCCAGGAAGACTGCTATCACACTTTCCTTATTAACCTTAGCCCGTCTAATTTCATGTTCCAGACATAATGCAGGATCTATTGTACTTCTACCTTTTCTAAATCCAAAATGATAAGACCTAATTTTTCCTTTAGATTCTAAAAAATAAATTAATCTGTTGTTTACCATTTTTTATGTTAAAGCTATTGGTCTATAACTTTCAGCTGAATTAGGATCTTTACCAGGTTTACAAATGGGTATAATAATGGCTTTTTTCCATTTATCAGGTAATATCCCTTCCTCACACACCTTATTATATAATTCCAACAATATTTCTTTACTTATATCACTAAGATTATTTAACATACTATAACTAATTTGATCATTCCCAGGACTACATTTACTGGAATTTTCAATGCTTTATTTAATTCTAACAAAGAAAACTTCATGTTAATAAAATCCTCACAAACATCAAGATGGACCAATTCAATATCCCTTCATAATGTCATTTCGCGCCCTCTTTTTTCTTTGTCATTTAGATTCTCTGTACTATGTATCTTTGCAAAACCTTTACCCAATAACTCAGCCTTACTTTTATTGTCTATTAAAATCCTTCTGGATGGAGTTTGCATGTTCTCCCTGTGTCTGCGTGGGTTCTCTCCGGGTTCTCCGGCTTCCTCCCACAGTCCAAAAACCTGCATGTTAGGTTGATTGGAGATTATTTTTATTACTGGGAAAACATCCATCCATCCATCCATTATCAATACCGCTTATTCCCTGTTGGGGTCGCGGGGGGAACTGGAGCCTATCCCAGTGGTCAACGGGCGAGAGGCAGGGTACACCCTGGACAGTCCGCCAGCCCATCGCAGGGCCACACAAAGGACAAACAACCACTCACACTCACATTCACTCCTAAGGGCAATTTCCCCAATCTCCAATCAACCTAACACTGTGGGAGGAAGCCGGAGAACCCGGAGAGAACCCACGCAGACACAGGGAGAACATGCAAACTCCATCCAGAAGGGTCCTGGTTCCCCCGGGATTCGAACCCAGAACCCTCTTGCTGGGAGGCGACAGTGCTAACCACCACACCACTGTGCCGCCCCTGGGAAAACATATTCTTTTGAATTTCCCCAAATTCTTCTAATAGTATTCCAAACTCTATCTAAAGCAGTATTTTTCACAATATTTCCTCCAATAATCCCTTTTAGCATTTCTTATAGTTTTCCTAACTTCTGCCTGTTTCCTTTTATAATTAATTCGATTTTGAAAGCTAATGGTTTTCTTAAGTGTTTTAAAAGCCTTATTCCGCTGCTTACATGCTGTTGAACATTCTGGTGTCCACCAAGGAACTATTTTCTTCTTTTTTTTTTTACCACTACTTCTAGGAATAAATACTTTAGCTGAATAAATAATACAGTTACTAATTTCATTCATTTATTTGTTTACTTGTATCTATACTTTTCATATTAATCTCACTCATGACTTTATTTTTATTTTTTAAAGATTTTTGGGCTCTAGTGGCCTTTCATGACAGTAGCTTGACAGGAAAGGGGGCAGAGATAGAGAGGGGGAGACCTGCGGGAAAGGGCCACGGGCTGGAATCGAACCCAGGACACCCGCTTGCAAGCGGAGGCTCCGCATATGGGCCGCCCGCTCTAGCCACGCTGCGGCCCTCACTCATGACTTTAAAACTACCCCAGTTTGCTTTCCCAAATTTCCACCTCCCCTCAATTTGTACCTGGTCTTCTTCTGTATCTATTCCTATCTTACAAAAAATTGGATAATGATCACTCCCCATACTCTCCAACTGCAATCATCAGCAATAGCTTGAGAAACTAAAGTCAGATCAATAGCCGATTCCTTACCTCTTACCAAGTCTACCCTAGTACCTACCCCATTATTCAAAACTACCAATTCTTTTTCATCAATTATCTCTTCTAAGATTCCTCCATTATAATCATCTTGATCTCCCTATAAAGTGCTATGTGCGTTGAAGTCTCCACACCAAACTAATTTCCCTCTCCAGTGTTCTATTATAGTTTCAAGTTTTACTTTTTCTAATTTTTTGCAAGGATTATAGAAATTCATTACTTTAATATTCCCTTCATTTGTCCAAATTTCTACAGCAATAAATTCAAAATCTGATATTACTTGGATCTGAATGAATTTCATGTTTTCCTTTATAAATATGGCACATCCTCCTCCACTCCCACTTGTCGCAATACTGAGTAACCATGAATACTAAACTGTAATGATGGTTTGAGCCATGTTTCCTGTATATTATATTTGGTTTTGCACTTAAATTATTAAAGAACCCTTTAAATTCCTGACCATTTGCTAATAAACTGTGTGCATTCCATTGTAATATTGGCATTATGTGATAATTTAAGAAGCATCATTTTCAAAAGATCCTTCCCCATGCCTAAGTTCATCATGGATTTTCTCTCAAGACAAATCTTTGGCATTAAAAAACTTTGTAGCTGCCTTTACTATAATTTTTATTTTTTCAGTTTTATTTTTTGCTTGCTCTGAACAATTTATGATACACTACCGTTCAAAAGTTTGGGGTTGCCCAAAAAATGTTGTGTTTTCCATGAAAAGTCAAACTTATTCACCACCATACGTTGTGAAATGAATAGAAAATAGAGTCAAGATGTTAACAAGGTTAGAAATAATGATTTGTATTTGAAATAAGATTTTTTTTACATAAAACTTTTCTTTCGTCAAAGAAGCCTCCAT